AGCTACAAAGTCCTATGTATGAACTGAAGTATGAGGGGGCATTTCAGAGACCTAGATGGAGAAACAATACTAATACCTGAATTTCAAACCAAGTCTGTGTGAACTTGTTAAGTGAGATATGTAGAATAAAACTCATTCTGGAGTTGGCTCACTGGCCACCACATCTGGGCAATGTGATACTCTCTATACCCTCCCCCCACTAAATATGCACCCTTTAAATGCCTTTTAAAAGACACTGAAATTTACCATGAGGCAAATCAGCATCTGAGTTTCCATTTAAGCTTTTCCTTATCATTCAAAGGAAAATAACTCATCAATTTTACCCTTCTTAAAAATTGCTATTATTCCCTCATAGCAAAAGCGTATGTATTTGTCTGTTTTCTTTCTTTCTTTCTTTCTTTCTTTCTTTCTTTCTTTCTTTCTTTCTCTTTCACAAAACTAAAACAGCATAGAATTGTGCTGAATTATTGCTATGTGATTATTTTAGGGTCAGTGGGTTTAATTCTCTCATTCTCTGCCCACCAACACATACTCGCTCGTCGCATTCCCAAGATGCTGTATCATTTCAGCAGCCCTTTTTCTGAACCCTCACACCCTAATGCATAACACATGTTGTTTGAAAACTAAACAAACCCCACATTAGGTCACTGAAGTCTGAATGATACCTAGTGAATGCTGGATAAATGAGGCCCTGTCAATGTATTCCTAAGGAACATTAGCACACTAAAATGTGCAGAAGTGTACGATACTTACTGACATGGTTGCTGTTTTGTTGAGTTGGCAGGTCTAGTGAACATGTTTAGTATGTACCCCTCTATTTAACTGATCATATCTTATTAGATTTCATGAAATAATCTTTGGCATAAGACAAAATCCTTATGTCAATTTAAAGAAAAGGTATCCTCATGTATGCCAAATATTAGTTCTGTCTTTTGTGATATACACCCAAATACAAACAAGAAACTAATAGATTACAGTGGGCAGGGGAATTTAGTTCTGGGTGCATGGGTCATGAAGCCACCCCTTATTTCTGTGTAGCTCAGACTTATTTATGTTCCAGACTGAAAACTGAGTTTTAAGATGGGGAATATGGAGGGTTGTTGTTGTCTCATTAAAGCAAGTGGCACAGAAGCATTACAGAAGGACACCAGAGATTCCTCATAAAGTGCTCACATATTCTTAGAACTAGAATTTATTGACGGATTTAATTCGCATTCAGCCATTAGACACAAATATGGCATGGAAGGTGGCTTACGGATACTATAAAAGCAGATTTAAACAATAAATTAAAATATGATAAAAACATAACAATTACAATAAATAAATAAGGGCAGTGCTGACCCTACAGACCTCCTTTAGGTCAAAGTCCTTTTTGAAAAAAGCAGTCTTCACCTGCCCACAGGAGAACAGAGAGGGAACAAAACTCATCACTCCTGAGAAGGAATTTCACAGCATGGGAGCAAACACTGAAAGGTTCTTTCTTGGAGAGCCAGCAAACGTCTGTCTGAAGATAGTGGTCTCAAAAGATGGGCCTCTCCAGAAGATTTTAAGTCCTGGGCAGCCTCTTATGTGACAGGGTCTTTCGATGGTCTCAAGCCATCATTTATGGGTCATAACCAGTACTTCTAATTTTGAATGGAAACAAACCTGTGAAGTTTCCAGTAACTGGCCCCAGTCACTGGGTTGAAACACTCTGGACCAGCTGAAGTTTTTGTACAGTTTTTGAAGGCAGCCCTGTATGAATCATGTTACAGTAGTTCAAAAAAGTTGTAATTAAAGCATGCATGGCTGCCCAGATCAGACATCCGTAGGAGAGATGAAGTTGCTACAGCTATGTGAACACTCCTGGCCATTCCCCAAACCTGGGCATCCAGGTTCAAGGCCGAAACCAAAATACATCCAAACTGCAGTGTAACCTCATCTAGCACAGGTTTAATTCCAATTCCCTGATCTGCTTTTTGACTGACCAAAAGCACCTCTGTCTTGTCTGGATTAAGTGTAGTGTTTTTTGCCCTCACCCAGTCCATTAACAACAGCAGAGTGCTATTTAGAACCAGAACAGTTTGGATTTAGATTGAAAAATGCAGTTCAGTGTCATCAGCATACAAAATCTGCTCCAGAGGACTGGAGTGACTGTATGGCAATGTCACCCAGTCCCATCTTAGAAGAACACCACAGTCACCTTAACAGGATGCTATGACCAATGATATGGAAAGCCACCAAAACATCCAGCACTCTCTCTCTCCAGTCCTCAGCGCAGATTGTCCACCAAGACAACACCTAGTGCCTGACCAGTAACTAGACCTGAAGACAAATTGAAATGGATCTAGAGAGCCCATCTGATTTAGAAATCCTTAGAGCTGAGAAGCCACCACATGCTCTAGCGCCTTGCCTAACCACAGAATACTGTAAGTATCAAATACAGAGGAAGTCAAGGAGCTGTTCCTGTTTTTTAAACAGAGGTCTCACCACTGCTGCCTTTAGGCAATGCAGAATCACACCTTCTTGTAAAGAGGCCAGGAAGGGAAGGGCCTAGTCCTCATCCTCAGGCTGCACTTACTGAAAAATATCCATTATAGCCAGAGAAGCAAAAGCTATAGTTCTGCCTCTCAGACCTGTACCAACTATGTCATCCAAACACCTTTTGTTTTTCTGATCCCAAACATCTAAAAGCATGTGATGTTTTCCTGTATTTATTCAATTGCACAATAAATGCATTTAAGCTATGAACAGGACTTAGTCTTACAGTGCTTTTACTTCTGTGCCAGATGTCAAAATATTGACCGATATGCAATACAAATTCCAAGTACCTGATCATCTGCTGCCTAAGAACCTTGACATTTGTACAGGGCTGCTGTGAAACTTCACAGTATTTATTTAAGGTCCTAAAAAGTTTCATTATTTGTCCAACACTGCCTATAAGCATGCTGAGTGCGAATTTTAGCCAGTCAGTAACTGTGTTAAGCCCCCATACGTACCCAGGATCGAAAGAAAGGAGTAATTGTTTCAGAGAAAATGACACTTATTAAGGGACAGGGGGACATATATAGTTTCTAACTTGGAAGCACATTTCACTGAAACTACAAAGACTCATCTCTAAACAAATGGGATTAGAATGGTGGTATCAATTTTATAAGCTTTTTTTTTTTTAAAGAATATTATATGTGAAGCAATTCCTACCTTTTCCAAAAAGAAGCAAGCCTTAGAAGCAATTACTATCTAATTTATCAGACTAGTAGACCACCCATTATCCACAATTCTATGGTCAGTACACAAATAAAAAACATGAAATATAAACCCATAATAAAATAGTAATAGATAAAATAACACAAACTAAAATCAGTAGAATGGGGTAAAAACCACACATACCCATGAAAGCAAGACCACCATCACCACCAACAAATACTGTGCAGATGTCCAAAAGTACTTAAATGGTTCATAAAATACATGGGAGAATAAAAAGGTCTTTAACTGGCACCAATATGACAATAGGCAGCAGACAAGCCTCTCTGGGGAGGCCATTTCATCACTGAAAAGCCTCTCTTGTAGCTATCCACTTTTCCTCACTTAGAGAGGGGCCTGGGATGAGGCTTTGCTTAGGGCAGTGGTGGAGGAACTATAGTACGTGTGTCACTGCAGGCACGCAGAGCCCTCTATGTGGGCACGCGAGCCAAGTCGTCCCAGTATTGCCCCAGCAGCCAAGCATTGGGTAACAGCGCACATAGGGGCCACGCGCATGCTTGGAAAGGAGTAGTGCCAGGCGATGACATCACAAGCCATGACACATTAGCCATGACTCGTCCAAACTTTCACATAACTGGTCAGTGTGCTGCCAAGGAGATATATATATATATTTGCTTGGACTGGCTGTGAGTTGTTTCTTTCTAAACTAAAACCTCAGATTTCAGGTTTTATTGTAGTGTTGACACTTTACGATAAAAAAGTGGGTTTTGGGTTGCAGTTGGGCACTTGGTCTCTAAAAGGCTCACCATCACTGCCTTAGGGTATGTATAGGCAAATACGGAAGGAAAACCTGAGCTCAAGCTGTTTGAGTTTCAAAGATTAATAATAGCACCTTGAATTGGACCCAGAAATGGAATGGTAACCAGTGCAGATGTAACTACATCAGCCCCATTTTGGACTACCTGAAGTTTCTGAACCATTTTCAAAGGTAGCACTACCTATAACACACAACTCAACAATTGAAAGGGGAAGTTTATTTATTAGGCTTATATTCCACTTTTTTTCACAAACTGAAAGTGGTTTACATCCTTCTCCTCTTCCTCCTCCTCCTGCTCTCAATCTTATAGCCACAGCAACAATCCTACAAAGTAGGCTGAGCTGAGAATCTGTGACTGGACAAAAGTTACCCAGTTGAATCCATGGTTGAGTGGAGGCTAAAACCCAGATCACCTGAGTCCCAGACCCACTACATATGAATAATTTTTCCAAGTCTGTGTGTCCAGATTAGCCTCACAGTCGGCCAGTCTGTTTCAGCTGCATATCCTCTGGGTCTCAAAAGCCACCTGTGCCTCTAATAAAAATAATCCAAGAGCAATACTATAAACCTGAGTCCTTAGTAAAGTGCAACCCCCTCCAGAATAGGCTGAATGCTCTTAACCAGACAGAAAAAAAACATGCACAGATAGTATCTTAATCTTGTCTGGTGTGAGTCTGTTGAACGGCCTTCAACCTTCACCTTTCCCTCTTCAAAGGATCCAAGAGAACCAATAGCTTTTGATACCAACACAGTTCACTTAATATAGCAAAGAAATGCACCTTTGCTTTAAAAAGCACCATCCCAGTAAGGATTAGAGTAAATAAGAGTATATACAGATAAATAAGATTAGTAATACAATAAAACTATTTTGGATTTTAAAGAATTGGATTTTCTAAAAGACACTGAAGGTTGATTATCTAATGTATCCATGTCTTGCTCACAGTTTTGATAAGCTTCTACTAATTATTTGGATTCAATCAATACTATTTCAGGATCTTACCAGTATCATGTGACCGGTGGAAATGTCCATATTGGACTGAACTGGTTCTTCACACCAGGATGAAGTACTGCTTCGAGCAGAAGGACTTGGAATGGTTCCATCGCTGAACTGTGAAGATATGCTATTAATACGGGAAGTATGCAGAGGCTCTGGGTGATCTGATGATTTTACTGCCATACGCTGACGACACAGCTCCTAGGAGACAAAAAAGAACATAGGATTAAAATCCAGTATTAAGGAATCATCAACTAAGGCAAGCATTATGCACATGTGGGTTTGATCCTGCATAGATACTGCACTCCTGTACTGCTTCCAAGTTAAAATTCTGTGTCAGGTGGTAGGAAAGGAAAACATCTGCATTTATCTATATGCAGACATTAGAAACAAAGCTATGACTAGCACAACTTTCTTATGCCAGAATGCTGATTGCAAAACAGCTATTTTGAACTAAATACATTCAAAGTAGAACTAGAATTTAGTTTATAATTCTAGTCCTTCTTGTCATGAGAACAAGGTGTTATGTTATGGCTTACAATTCTAGTCTTCGTAAGAACAAGTTGGCAAATTATCTGCTCCATTTTATTTAGCAGTATATGATATTCATGGTTTGGAAAATCCAGACAACTTATTTTGTGCTACCTTACATTTTTAAGAACAAAATTATCTATGTTTGGAACCACTAAGTGCAAGAAGGTGAGCAGAACAGAATTAAAATGGCAGACCAAAAAACGATTCAACAACTTCAAACGTATAGATGCTGGCTGAATTTTTCTTCATTAAAGTAATGAACAATGACCTTATACCTCAATGTCTGCCTCAGCAAAAGGTGAATGGCACAAACAAAACAACATAAAATAGATTTAAGATTGCAGTAAGTTTCTAATAAATAATAAAATAATAAAAAATAAAACATGAAGCACAAATCAAACCTTGAAAAAGCAAACACATCTGCTTGCACTACTTCCAGATCAATTCAATGTGCAGTAACCTAATGAGCTTTTAAGATGTAGCTAATTACATTACATCCATAGCTGATTCAAAGATGAGCACATAATGAATCTTAGAAAAATCATGTTTAAAATAGTAGGATGTTCATATCTATTATGAACAAAAAGGCTTGCATCCAAGTCCACATTGCAAAACAAAGCCAGAAGTGGGCATTGATGATATAAACCACTTGATGGCCTATTTGAAACCCCTTATATAGTTTTCTCAGTACTTGAGCTTTACTCCCTAGTTTTTGGCTAACAAAAGTCTGCATCTTCATATGTGTTTCCATATATTCACTTTAATAATCTTTCAGCAAATTAGTTAATGGTAATATAGGCATCAGTGAGATAATTTTAACATTCCAATGAAAATGAAAAATTTGTTGTAAGATAATAATAGCTTTGTTGCAGAATATATGCCTCTTCAGACATTTGCTAAAAAGTGTTTAATTGTAAGCATGGCGACAGCTGGGGAGGTAACATTTATTCTTCCATTCCTGACTTCCCCATTAAGTCTGGAAGGACAGTCTAAACGTGTTTGACTGGTCACATTACTTTGCTCCATGCTACCAGGAACGCCAGCTTATTAGAATTTCTAACTCTATAAGGCAGTGTAACTCCATGTAGTTAAAAATGTTTTCAATGTATTTTACAGACCTTCCCCACCAACATGAGCAGGTTAGGAGTGTCTGTGGAAGCCAGAGCCTGTGTTTCTGGCTTCCTTGCAGCTTCCAATTAGCCCCTCCTCAGTAGACAACTGAACAAAGATTAAGCTAGTGTTGAGACCAATTAAAATCAATGGGCTTCTTTACTGCTGAGTAAGTGAAGTTGCATTGGTGGAAACAGAGCACAATGAACTCAGTCTGGATCCAAAGTGATATATTGAAAACACAAAGCTATCTATCATGTGTTGATTGGGTGACTCCTGACCAGTCCAGGCCGAAGCTAAGCAACTACAGATTTGGGCAGTACATCGGCAGAAAACTCTCCGAGCTGCTAAACTTTCCAAAGGAAGAGAAGTATAACAGATGTAGATAACTGGCTCAGTTGTTAAACTCTTTGTTACATGCAATTATATACATGATACTGATGTTCTGCAGATTTACTTCATCAGTGGCCCTTACAGTCTGGGGAAGTATGAATTCTCTGGGTTTGTAATGTAGGATGAAACGAAGATTTTTTTTTGTACCATTAGATTCTGTATATTTCAGTTCCTGCCTCAGAAATCGCAGAAAGTACAAGACTGACTGACACACAAAGAAACTCCAGCTGTCCTGAGTCCAGGAGATCCAGGTTGCAAAAACATCAACACTCTCTTGTGCAGACAAGGGGCATGGTTGCCTTGAGCTGCCTGAGTCCAAGTTACATGTTGCAAAGACATTTTGAAAATATGTGAGCTGAACTGAGAGCCATCTGAAATGGCTTGTAAGCAAGGGACTCCTGTACTATATAAGATATGGAAACTAACCTGGACAGGTAAGGTAGTTTTCTAAGAAGTTCATAACCGTACAATGGAGGGGATCCCCAAAATGTATACTTTGTATTGTGATTTTTACTTCTGAGATATAAAAAAAGACTCATTTTCAATTAGTTTACCAAGGTATGAAGGTAGAAGATTAATTATACACTGCCTATCAAATAAATTGCTGAGCAGATAAGTGTCTTTTGTAAGATATCCTGCAACTAAGAGATGAACTATTTGCTAAACTGGATAGAAAATTCAACTTTGAGCACCTATTCTGATGTAATTCAAATAGCACCATCCATACAGCAGTCTGATATATAAAAGTATTATAAAATAGTGTATATGTATAATATATAAATTCTGTATGTTATATGTATAAATACATATTATCTATTTATTATTAAATATTAAAATCTTTAGAAAAACACCCAATGAGGACTGAACATGAATACTGACTGATTTTTGAAGTGATGGCAAAACCAGGAAATTTGGAGGTGCAGGACTGGTGTATTTGGCAAGGGGCATGGTTTGGTAGCAAGACCCCTAGTCAGATGCACTCCACACTGGAACACTTTGTTATAAGGCCCACATGTGATGCCTACTGTCAGTAAGTATGAAAGGGAATGAGGAATTTTATATTCATAGTTCCACCCAGAAAATGAAAAACACCTAGCCAAAGTTTTCACCTGGGGCTGATGAAAGGATAGCAAAGTCAGTGGCAGTCACACTTCTATATGGAGAAAGAGCCACAACAAGGACACCCTAACACAGAGTCAAATCTTCCGAATTTGGGAAACGGGCAGACTTGTAAAGGCAGAAGCCCCATGATAGCCATGTCACTACCAGTGTTAGAGCTTTCTCACTTCTTTGAAGTGGAAGTGTTGCATGTGGAAGAGTGTCTTGCCTAGAACTGACCTGCCCATATTTTGGTCAAGGTTGGAAGTTATTTTGCAACCTACATTTGCTGGACCTGGGTCAAAGACTACTTTCAACAGGATTTTTTAAAGGATTTTTTTTTTTAAATATGGTCATATTAGTTCTGACTGGCAAGCAGTGTCAAATTTTGAATGGGACCTGAATGAGAATTTCAAGGTAGTTTCTTATATTAGCTCCTTTCTTAGAATAGGAAACAGCATATGTTTCTGTGGAATAAACAGCATATGCAAGTTAAATGTTTATAAAAGGTAAAGCTGCAAATTATAACTTCATCACATAGTTCACACATTGGACAGATGCTTTCTCTGATCAGAGTACTAGATGATTTTATTTCGTCAACATTTTAATAAGTAAATAAGGATTTTAGATGTTTTAAGATCTGCCCATAGTCACACTTTCTTTTCTTTATTTTTATGAAATGTTTGGTTTATGTTTGTTTATTATTTACTGTTTTAATCATTATATTATTATAGTATTATTTATTATTGTAAGCCATCCTGAGCCTTTCAGAAAGGACAGGATAAAAATGTTTTAAATAAATAAATGATTTGATGAACACTAACTCTTCAAGTAGCAGAGGTATTTTATCTATTCTTATGTCCTGCCTAAAGCCATAATCACATAATCATTTGCTTCTAATATAGATGACTGGCATTAGCTGGGAGGGCAGGAAACGTTAGGAACAACTAAATCTCAGAAATTAACAGCTGCTATTTATAGAAGGGCCAAAAACTGCATAATAAAAACAGTTAAGAAAAACATTCTCTTCTACAAAATTATTTTTCAGAAGAAATACAAATTAATTATGCTGTCAGGGTAGGAGTTGTTTATTTTTCACAAGGCTAAGATATGAAAGAAGAAATGATAATGTATTAATATGCAACTTAATTTCTTACTGAGAGGTTCACCAAAGCAGTTATCTCCTAGGTCAGCTATAATTGCTTTGCATACCCAAGAAGCAGAACCAGTAAACTGATACTCAATTGGAAGGCTCACCAAAATGTGCCAAGAATACAACTCCAAAGGAAACACACTTCATTTTCCAACTAATATTTATCACAGGGCTTACTCCTTTCCATACTTCATTTTTAACTGCTTCTACCACCACGAGAAACATGAAATAAAACTTCTCCAGATCCGTGACAGCTCTTTGCTTTATTCCTTCTAGCCCAACCTATCTACTTTTTCTGTGGAAGGGAAACAAGGCAAGAAGGAAAACTTCCCATCCATGCATCCATCCAGTAACCAATATTCTCTGGGAGGTTAACAAGCAGACTAAAATGCCATACATTAGTGCTCCTAGCTAAGCAAAAGTTGTACCAGCACTGAGCAAAGCCTAAGATAGATTAATGAAACAACCTAATGACCAATCATGTATTCTGGGGCTACCAAAAAGCAAAAGCTGGTATTTTTATCTTGATCTTTGTTCCAAATTTAAAATTTCATTAAGAAAGAATTCTGGCAAAATGTTCCAGAACTGCTACATTGGATGTGCATGCTGACATCTCCCAAAGAACAGTTTTGCTTGCAACAGGCATATGACTATTATTAAAACCAATCTGCAAGAGAAAGGATGAAATGGGGGGGGGGGGGCTATGATCACAACTGAAGGTCTTAATGCGTTACTGGCCAGCTCTGTTTCCATCAACGTAAAATATGTTCAGCATCATTTCTGATACTTCAGTTGCTAAAGAGCTATATCCCTACAAAAGACTGTTCTCCGGGTGGCCCTGCATGACAGACCGCAGGCCTAAAATTCAATACATCCTTTATTTTGGCGCAGTATGTGCTATAAGTATGGGTGA